ATCCCTCCAAGTTCCCTCATGATGGGTTTCTACCCGAATTTGCTTTCATGGCGGAAAGTGCCCAATTGGAAAAGAAGTGTTTGAGACTCTTCAATCGTGCCAAAACACCATCCCTGGAACATCAGCACCTCGAATCAACGTGACGGTTGCGTTATGGCAATCCCAAATCCGTCGACCCCTTGGGGTCACGGCGTGTGCGATGCTTCTCCCTCCCCAAACCCCTCCCCCGGGGGCCCGGTCTGGCCGGTTTGGGAAGGGGGCGGGGGGGGACAAAGGTGTTGGCCGCACACTTGGAGCCTCAGGAGGCCCGAAAACGATCCAAAAAAGTTCAAAAGGGTCCCGGAAAGGTCCAAGAGAGCCACGAGTCGACGAAAGATCGTTCCAAAACACAGAAGAATGCCTCCAGACGGCCCCATGAGTTCCCAAGACTCTTGAAAAAGTACTACAAGGCGCCCCACGAAGGCCTTCCAGAAGCAAACATCGTCCAATTCCATAGGGGAAACGTGCATTTTCAGCACTCGCCTTTTGGGCTTCCACGCGGCCCACAACGGCCCAAGAAGCCTCCAAGATCGACCCTCCGCAGCCCAAGAGGCTTCCAAAAAGGCTCCACGACGGCTTCCAGGCGATCCACGAAGGCTCCAGAAACCACAGCAACGGCCCTGGAGAGCCGCAGGACGGTCCCAAGAGGGCTCCAGAACGGGTCAACAGGGTCCCCAATCCAGACGGCCCACGCGGGGGGCGATTCGGTCCAAACCGCCCAAGATTGCCTCCAGACGGCCCCATAGGCCCCTAAGACGTTCGAAAACGCGTCCACGAGGCGCTCCAAGAGGGCCTCTGGAAGCCAAAATCGTCCCATTCCCAAAGGGAAACATACATTTTCAGTACATTCGCGTCGTGGACTTCCACGAGGCCTACAACAGCCCAGTAAACTTCCAAGTTCGACCCCGGACATCCGAAGAGGCTTTCAAAAAAGGCTCCACGACGGCTTCCAGGCGCACCACGAAGGCCTCAGAAACCACAGCAACGGCCCAGGACAGTCGCAGGACGGTCCCACGAGAGCTCGCCTGCAGACGATCCCCCAGAGGCACCCGAGACGCTTGAAAAAGCTACTACGAGGCGCTCCACGAAGGCCTCCAGGAGCAAAAATCGTCTCATTCCCGAGGGGAAATATACATTTTCAGCACGCTCGCCTCAGAAACCACCAAACCGACCCAGGACGGCCCCAAAAAAGTCCCCAAATGGGTCCCACAAGGCTCCCCCGGCGGCTCCAGAGCGCGAATTACGACTCGTGAGGAGATCGCTCCCGCACGCCCGCCGTTGCCTCCAGTTGACCCCTGAGGCCCTCTAGACGCCCCAACGCGCCACCAGGACGCGTCCCAAGAGGCCCGGCAGAACCAAACTTCGGCCCCTTCCCGGAGGAAACGTTTAAGTTTAACACATTCGCTTCTTGAACTTCCACGAATCCCACAGCAGCCCAAAAAGCCCCCAAAATCAACCCAAAAGTCCCCGTACGCCTCCAAGACGGCTCCCAGACGGCACAAACGGGCCCCAACAGGGCCCCCGAAGCCACCAGGGAGAGCCCCAGGACGGCCCCACGAGGAGGGTAAGAAGGGAAACCCGAATGGAGAATCCGAGCACTTCGCCCCGAGAAAACATGAAAATGCGCCTAAATGCACCCAGAGGCCCTGACGGGGATCCGCAATGCCCCCGAATGAGCCTGGGACCTGGAGGCGGCCATTCGACGACGAAAACCACGAAACATCTAAAAATATTGAGACTATCCAGCAAAATCCTTCTTCTTCCCCCACGCCGAAATCTTTCACCGTGAACCCCCCAGACCCTTCCCGGAATCCAGTCGCAATCGTTTTCCCAAATGCATCCAGCCGCGGCGACAGGGGGGGGCCCGGAACCCCCACAACCACAACAGACCTCCCGAGTCCGACGGGCTACTCCGCACACATTCGTTCCCCGAACCTCTCCCCAGGTCCGCTGATGCAATTTCTCGCCCCAGGTCTGGTTTTGAAATCCCTGGGGCCCAACAACGGCCCCCGGGGACCGAAACCTATCAAAAACCAAAACTTTTCAAACAAGTACCCTGCGACGTACCCAACCCTTTTTTATACACGTGGCGCTTATTTTCGGGAACACTCAATGCTGACTGGTATTCTGAAGGACCCGCAGTGCGCAAGAAGAGCACTCAGGAGTCCCATTTTGAACAAAACGATGTCTAGAGCGAGAGCCTCATTCCGCTAGTTCGAAGATGACTAGAGCGAGAGCCCCATTTTGAACAGAAGACGTCTTAAAGCAGCTCGTCTGACATCACACTTTGTGGCGACAGTTGCGCAAATCGCAGCCCCCCCGGGGGCGGCGAGGTCCCGAGGTGGTCCGCGTATGACGTACCTCCGCTGGGCCTCCCAGGAGCCCACGAAAGTGGCGACAGCTGCACAGATCGCAAGCCACCCAGGGGGCGGCGAGGTCCCGAGGTGGTCCGCGTGGGACCCACCTCCGCTGGGCCTCCCAGGAGCCCACGAACGTGGCGACGGTTGCGCAGATCGCAAGCCACCCAGGGGGCGGCGAGGTCCCGAGGTGGTCCGCGTGTGGCGTACCTCCGCTTGGCCTCCCAAGAGCCCACGAAAGTGGCGACAGTTATGACGTACCTCCGCTGGGCCTCCCACCTTCTCCTCCTCCCCCTCCTCCTCCTCCTCCTCCTCCTCCCCCTCCTCCTCCTCCTCCTCCTCCTCCTCCTCCTCCTGCCTCCTCCTCCTGCCCCCTCCTCCTCCTTCTCCTGCCTCCACCTCCTGCCTCCTCTACTGCCTCCTCCCCCGGGAAGGCCCAGCTGCTCCCCGCCTGGGCGCTCGAAAGCCCGATGGGGCCCGGGAGCGTTCCTTGAGCCCCCGGCCCCTCGGGACGCGCCCGACGACGGCCCCGAGTGGCCCTCAGAGGGCGCGGAGGTGCTCCCCAAAAGAGGGCCCTCACGAGCAGCCGGCGCCTCCAAGGCAGCACCAGGAGGCCCCACGGGCCCGACGACGGCCCTGGTGGCCCTCAGCAGGCGCGGAGGAGCCCCAAAACGAGGGCCCTCATGAGCAGGAGGCCGCCAGGACGGCCCCAGGGCGCCTCCAAGACAGCACGAGGAGGCCCCAAGACAGCTACGAGAGCGGCCCCGGGAGCCCCGTGAGAGGCCTCAGACGGCCAATAGGAGGGGGCACGACAACCGCTTGGAGTGTCAACGGAGAACCCCTCCCCCAACCCCCAAACCATCCCCGTGGGGCCGAACTCTCCCTCTCGGGGTGGCTGGGCCGAACCTCTCCTCCACGTAATAATTGTTTTCGCGACGCTGGAGATCTGGGCTCCCAGCTCCAGACGTCTCCTTCTGCAGCGCGGGCCCCTGGAGGTCTCGACCAGTTAACCCCGGGACTGGCCTTTGATCCTGAGCCGCTCCTTGACGGCCCCTGGCCCCTGTAGGGCCCCTGGACACCAAGACTGTCAAAATCCTTCCGTGGGCAGCTGTGTTCCACGGCGCGCGGGGGTCTGGGTCCCGCGCCTTTCTTTTATTGTTGTTTCCCCTGTCGAAGTGCAACGAAGCGCGAGCCTGAGCAGGCACGGAAGGCGCAGAATGGCACATGAGATCTTTTCGCAGGAAGCTTTGCAAGGATGAGGAAGAGGAGGAAGAGGAGGAGGACGAGGAGGAGGAGAAGGACCAGTGTAAACCAACAAGTCATCAATGATGTTGGAATTAATCCTCCTTCCAAGCTCCCTCTCATAGGCCCCTACAAATGTTCACTTTCATTGAAGGAACTGCCTCGTTGGAAGACACCCTTGAAGACCCTGAATCATGCCAAACCATTGTCTTCGGGATTCCAACGCAACGGATCAACCTGACTGCTGCGTCTTGACGATCTGGAACCGTGCCAAAACGCCATTTTTGGGACTTCAACACCGCGAACCAATTCGCCGGCCCACCGGGCCAGAGGCGTGCTAAAATCTCCGGTCAATACTCAACAATATTTCTAATTCGCGCGCGCGGGGCGGCCCCTGGGGGGCCGCGGACGAAAAATACCCCGGCTGACCCCCGGCCGGGTCCCGGCCGGGTCCCAGCCGGGTCCCTGGCGATCCCCAGGGGGGAGGCTATTTTTCGCCACCCCTCACGAGGATCGTGGCCTCAGAGGGGGGGGCTGCAATCGACTACCCCCCTCCCGCCCAAAGGGGCCCCCAAGAGCCTCCCAAGAGGCCCCAGGGGAGCCCAATACGCCGCCAAGGAGCCCCAAGACGCTCCCAAGAAGCCCCCAAGACGGCCCCAAGAGGCCCCAAATAGCGCTCCAGGGCCGGCGGAATGAGCGAAGCGATTAAATATAACTGTTACACCCGCGTAGCCCTGAATAGCTCCAAAGCATGATTTCTGGTACGCTGATCACGGGAATCCGTAAAGCTCATCCAAATTGAATAAACGAATGTGCGCGGCGCTAAAGCGAGAGCCACATTTGGAAAACCACCCGCCCTCAATCTGTGAAGTTCTTGCAAATATTTAAACAAATACGCGCGGCGCTAAAGCGAGAGCCACATTTTGAAAACGATCCACCCACAATCCGCGAAACTCTTGCACATGTTTAAAACGAATCTGCGCGCGGTGCTAGGGCGAGAACCGAATGTTCAAAAGCGACCCGTCCGTGAAACACTTGCAATGTTTAAAACGAATGTGCGCGGCGCTAAAGCGAGAACCACATTTTGAAAACGGCCCGCCCTCAATCCGTGAAACTCGTGCACATGTTTAAGACGGATGTGCGCGGCGCTAAGGCGAGAGCCGCAATTTGAGAACCACCCGCCCTTCATCTGTGAAACCGTTGCCACATTTAAAGCTTCAGAATCATAAATGGTGAGGAAGCCTTAGACGAAACGGCTGGCCCGCCCTAAAAACTGGCCTTGGGGTGCGACAGGGAGAAGTAAAGTATAAGGGAAAGGAATGGAGGAGGAGGAGGAGGAAGGAGAGGAGAGAGGTCTGGGTCCTGCGCTGGTACTCCAGGACAATGCCAGGAGGATAGTACCTCAGGAGAAACCTCTTGAGCTTCATGGCGCCCCGCCCGCTGCTGCTCGACCGGAGCCTGAAAACGGCCGCGCGGCGCGGGGTCATCCTCGCTGCGGCAGGGGGTGGCAAGGGGGCCGCCGGAAAATCCGTTGCGCTCCTGTTCCTCCTTCCCCCTGTCCCCCTGCTTTTCCAGTCCCTGCTCCTTACCTCCACTCCCCTCTCTCCCTTCCCTCCCCCGCTCCTCCTTCCCTTCCCTTGCCTGCCCCCTCCCCCCGATTCGCGCCGCGGGAGGAGGAGCTTCAGAGGTGGAGGGCGGGGGAGGCGGGAGGGAGGGGAAAGCTGCAGAGGAGGAGTTCGAAACCCCAGCTGGAGGAGTCTGCAGCAGTGCCCGCACCAAACGCAGTCGCGGGAACAAAATCCAGGATGGGCAGCAGCGGCGAAAGGACGACGGGGCGGGGGCCATTACCTGGACGGGAACAGGGTGGCACAGGCTGGACCCACGGTGAAGCAGGCTACTTTTCCTGCTCCTCCTCCTCCTCCATCTTGTCTTCCTCCTCATCACCTCCACCACCGTCATCATCATCATCATCAGCAGCATCATCACCAACATCATCATTAGCATCAGCATCATAATCACCATTACCATCACCATCAACATCATCAACACCACCATCATTACCAATATCATCATCATTATAATCATCACCAGCATCAGCATCATCACCATCACCATCACCATCACTATCATCGGCATCCGCATCAGCATCAGCGACATCAGCAACATCAGCATTTATCGCCACCACCATCATCATCACCATCATGGCAACCGTCATCACCATCGTTTTCATCATCACCGTCATGATGATGATCATCATCATCATCATCATGATCATCATCATCACCATAACCATCATCGCCATCACCATCATCAGCAGCATCAGCAGCATCATCATAAGCATCATCATCAGCACCATCACCAGCAGCAGCATTAGCATCACCATCGTCCACATCATGAAAACCATCACCAATAACCTCATCATCACATTCAGCATCACCATCATAACCATCATCATCACCATCATCATCACCATCATCGTCATCATCATAGTCGTCGTGCTCATTATCATCACCAGCAGCAGCAACTGCATCATCATCATCATCATCATATTCATCATCGTTATCATCAACATATTTGCCGTCATCATCACCACAATCAGCATCATCAACAGCAGCATCAGCATAACCATCACCAACAGCGTCATCATCATTGCTGTCACCATAACCATCATCATCGCCATCAGCAGTATCATCATCATAAGCATCATCACCATCATGATCATTATCACCATCGTCATCAGCATCCTCATAATCCTTTTCCTCTTTCTCCTCCTCCTCCTTTCCCTCCTCCTCTCATCTTGCCCTGGGTCCAAAACCCACTTTCTTCTAAGCTCGGACACGCGGAAATACTTGGACGGGCTGTTACATACGATTTATGCCGCGCATGAGCTAGCGCAGGCCAGTGGGGAGAGCGCGGATGCCGCCCCCTTCCTTCTGGGCTTCAGGTGTCATCCTGTCGTTCCCTGCAGGTTCGTGTGTTCTCTGCTTCCTGGACGTGTCCAATCCAATCCCGCGGGCCCAAGAAAGGAACGGGGGCGCCGTCGAACGGGAACGCGGCCGACACAGACCGACGCGGCACGAAAGCGCTTTCTTTGGTCGCATTGCACCCTGAGTGCCCCCCTCACCAACAGGGAGAGGGTGGACAGAGGATGATGGGCAACAAGGAAAAACTGGGCAACAATGAATAAGCGGTACGTACCGACGTGTCCTGGACCTCCTCCAGGGCGCGTTCTGACCAGGATTTCGAAACCCACATGGACGTGGCGCCGACGGACCCCCTGGAGGCTCCAAGAAAAGAAGTGAAGGAAAGGTAGCGGCACCCGCACCACTGCCGCATCTGATACGAACCGTTTCGCACTATCGCCGGGAACTGCCCCAAGATGGTTTTCAAGATTGCCCGACATGGCTTGCGGTCGGGCAGAAGGGGGGGATGAGAGCAGCAAACAAACCCACGGTGAAGGGGTTAGGGGCGGCTGCCAGCGGGGGGGCGGTCGCCGGCGCCAGTCCAAGGCTGGCGGCTGACGGTCGTCGGCGGGGGCTGACGGGGACATCTGGTCGGGGGGGGCCGGGATTCGTCGCCGTCGGCGGCCAGCGGCCCTCGGCGGGGCTGGCGTCGGCAACCGTCGTCGTCGTCGTCGGCGGCCCGAAGAGGAGGAGTGAAGCGTACGACGACGACGACGACGCCCCATCCCTACGCGCCTCCACCTCCACGATCTGGGCGGGTTAGCCTTAGATCTCGGAGCGCTGCCTTGGTCGCGGATATGTGGGATTGCGGGGCCTGGCTGAGCGCAGGGGGGAACAATCGAAGTGAATGACACATGTGAAGAGCTATGTATATTTCTTCAAGTGCGTGGACGGTGCAGTGCGTTACTCCCCGTCTTATAAGCGGATCGGAAGCGAGAGCGCGATTCTGGGGGGCGAGGGAGATCGCAGAGGACAAGCGGGGACAGAGAGCACAGTGGCATTGGCGGTCTAAACATTCATGGCAGCCAAGGATGCAAGACGACTCACCCCGCTCACTCTGAATCCTGTGGCTCGTGAGCCACCCTCCAGCTGCCGTCCTGAGCCAGGCCCAGGACCAGGGCGGGGGCACTGTCTTCAACAATAAACGAACGGATTCAAGGTCAGCTTGGTCATTGTCACTCGCGCGGTCTGGCCGCCATTTCTGTAGCCTCTGGCGGAACAGATCAGGCAAGGTCAGCACAGAGACCATTGCACAGCAAGCCTGGGATGCAGCACGTTGCACTTTTTGCCGAGGGGCAGTGCTCTGTGCCGCACGTGCGGCAACTGCAGCATGGTGATATGTCAGGCTCCGCGTGCCCGCCCACGCATCCTCCAGGAACTCAACATATGCACGACATTGCCAATGTTTGGGATACCGATGCGACCGAGGAAGAACCGAGAGACGACATTGATCACGATTCTCTTCATCATCATTGGTACACTTGTGGAGCCAGGGCAGCACGCGCCAGAATTCAGGAACAGCACTGATCGCCATGCGTGCTAGCGTTGCCGAGCACAATTGAGCAAGAGGGTTGACGCGTGGACCATACCACTCTCGAAGGCGATACCAGTCAGCTGCGCTAAAAATACCGATCGGCACACGAAAGGTGGATGCCAGAGCTCCAATCTCGAGATCAAGCACACGCCGCGGAGGTGGAAAATATTGAGCTACATGACTGACCGTCGGGAGCGCACGCGTCTGGTAGAGCTGGCCCGAGACCGAGGTAGCCTGGATGCCCTGTCCAACAGCTTTAGCCCGAGATTGGTACTTCCGACTGGGAGCACTCCAGGAGTCCCCAAGAATAGCCCCAGGGCCAACAAACATACCCAAATAAAACAATTTTTCTGCAACCTGGAAGGGCGCCCACTGAGGGATGCACAACCTCAGATATCCCAGAACACGAGCTTTCAACGCCGGCGTAAACGCAGAGGCCACAGGGACCAAGACGCACTTGGGTGGTTTGAGAGCGAGATGAGCAACCAAAGCTGAGGACTTCATTATCCTAGCTAGTGCGCGTAATCCCTGGAGCCGTCGAAAAAAACACCATCGATGTCGTCAGCGCACGCTCTGCCATGCCAATTCCCAGTTTGGCCCCCTCAATAGATATGAGAAGATCAAGCAATGTAGGAGTAAGCGCAGCAGCAAACAGCAACCCCGATAGAGCGTCCGTCGCCCTGGATAATCCCAGACCGAATCCAGATGGCAAAGGTCATAGCACCCCGACACGACATCGCCCCCTCGATGGCAGTGTAAAGGATAGCGACTAAAGTGAGCAGAGCAGCAGGACACCCCATACGCTGCCACACCAGCTGGAGATACTGCTGGGATAAACTCGGAAACGCATGACCATAATCAAGAGCATACAAAATGGGACATTCTTCATCAGCTTCAGGGCGACGCGAGCATGCGCGAGCAACGGCATCAACTTCAGCAATATTCATGGCGAAATTGCGTCCCCTCATAAATCCTCTCTGTGATGGTGGCACGAACTTGTCAAGAGGCTTCCTGATCGCATAGTTGACCGACGCAATGATAATCTTATAGCTAATGCTCCTGAGGCCCAGGACCCGAACAGCATTGACGTCGCGATCACACTCTCCCGCTTGTGTGTCACCATCACATTCACCTTTGGGTAAAAAAGCCTGGAGCGTGCGACTCTCGCTGGCAAAAGGCGGAATCCCACATAACATGTCCAGCATGACATCATGCAGGAGCTCCACTCCGTACGGGTTTGCCGCCCACGCTGCGTAGCATAAGCGATCACATCCTGCAGCAGAGTCAGTCGCCCGTGAGAGAACCTTCTTCATCACAGAGAGGCCCGGCGGGGGACAATCTGAAAAATCAACTGGCTGAACAAAACGATCCACGTATTTCTCGGCAGCAGCATGGGCCCAGGGTTTTCGTCCAAAGATGCCTCCCCAGTGCTTCCCAAGAGCCTGCCCACGAGCCTCAGGACCTCCGACGGGAACCCCCTCGACCAGAACATCCCGAAGAACGAGTCGTCGAGCAAAAGGTGCCCGGATACGAGCACGACGCTCCAAAGGCAGAACCCTCCTCTTTAATTGCGGAGCTGATACCTCTTCCCCGTCCTGACTACCTCTTCCTCCCTCAAGTTCAAGCCGGGCACGCAGTTGGTCACGGTCCAACTTCGAGGCGTTGAGTTGCTGCAAATTGCACCACTGCATGAAGGGTGCCGCGCGCACCAGTTCAACTCTAGATCCTGAAACGTCAAGATAGTCTGCAGCAGCAGGATGAGATCCCATCAGCCGCTCCGCGGCCTGGACATCTCGTCTCCATGCTGCTCTCGCAACAGCTCTGGCAACCAACAGAAGAGCGCGGGGGTCGTGCGGGCGGCGGCGCAGCAGGCAGTCACGAGCCTCCCGACTGGCCTCTGACAGCAGGTACTTATATCGCTCTCATCGTGGCGCCGAACTCAGGCTGTCCAGGCGCGGCTTTTCAGCTTCCAGGAAACGCTTCATGATCG